TTGTTGCATTGATTTTTATTCAAGACTTATTGTTTCATCAAGTTGTCTGAGTCTGTACGGTTGGATGCATTGACGAACGAATGGATGGTAACGACACAGACTGGATCCACAAGAAGAGATGAGCATGATAGCTACTCTGATGACATGAACAATTTGTGTGTTTTTTATTACACATTTGTGTGGTGAACAGCAGACGGGGCGAATCCCATAGTCACGAAGACCTGCTGCTTCGTCATGGAAATCGCTAACCTAAGCTCCGGGACTTGGAGTGGCGAACCGCATTGGGTTCCGCTAGGTTAGGCGTGGTATTGAACCGGACGACAGCAAACTTGTCTACCACCAAAGTTGAGTGGTGGTGGCGGGGCTCGAACCTCGGACCACAGGGTCCAAAGCACGCCAGTAACAAAGACTAAACAACTGCGCCACCACTACCCACTCGGATTATGATCTATTCGTGATACGGACGAGCGGACGGATTGATTGCATTGGGTTGTTGCATGGGTTTCATCATTTATTATGCTTGGGATTACCAGTTTGGAGGAGATAAATCAAACCTACCGAAAGCCAGTTGCCTCTACAGGCCATGGTACAGTGTTTTGTGCACCGCAAACCCACTGTGCCTCCAGCGATCCAGAGTTGGTTGAAAGGGTGTGCTTTCGCATTTGACCGGAACCGCATGTCAGTTGCACTAGCACCAAATCCGATTCGAATTGAAGGAGCATGGGGATGTGGGCAGCGGTTGGCACGTTTCGAATCCATGGACCGGGTAAGGAGATGGAAATCAATCGATTGTGACAGGAGTTTGCCTCGGTCGTGGTGGAGCTCAGAGACAGCCGAGAGGCAAACATGGGTGGAGGAATGACCGTGTGAGCCAAAGCAGTGAGTAAAACACTGCCTACGTGGGGTGGGGGAAGGAGTTTGTGGAGTGGTCATAAAAAACAAGGAAAGAATATACCCAGTCTTAGAAAGTAGATGAGCGGTCATTTGACTCAACCTTTAACGGAGTACTATGACCTCAACAAATGGGAGCATAAAAACATGGTGCAATGATTTTGCAGCAAAGTAGGATCGGTGCCATTCATTTCCGTTCTTAATCTTCTAGCTGATCTTGAAGGCCACAACGCATGAGGTATTCTTCAGATACGGATGAAGCATTGTAGCCGAGCTTCCCGGAGTAGGCTTCAACCTAAATGAAAAATAATAGTTGCATACAAAGTTTTGAAGCGTCCGCTTGATTATGGAAAGATCGCATTGGATCGTGGTAAACACAAAGTAGAGTGTGCGTGAATCACTCAGCTAGAACGAGTGCACGAGTGGTAGAATGACAGATTTTAGAGCTCAGGTATACCGTGATTCTAATCTGAAGAGTAGGAGGAAGCGTTTAGGGAAAACAATGTGAGAATATTACTCACGTACGTTCCCATTTCACACATTACACTAGAACAGAATACAGACAGTATGTAATCTCAACCAACTGCCTCATTACAGAAACTACAGAGAACAAACTGGTCCACAGACTCTAAGACTTATTGCCTTTGGCAGAAGACAGCATCCGTGTCGTTTGGACCAGTATCACACCTACCTCCGAGGGACCATATGTGGTTCGCCACTTATAATAGTAGAGCTAAGTCCGCAGGAGCTACAGGATTGATCTCTTTCTACCGTTCTTAGACTAGTGCACAAGCATATGCAATAACGTAAAACAGTGAATATTTACCAAGAGTGAAGCATTGGTCTGAAAAACGAAACTCGGGATAGCGGGTTATATAATTCATTGACAGGAAGTATACGAGCACAGAGGACTGAAATGCCGCTCAATATTGGTATAAGTTCTCACAGTTCTCACTGATCCAAAGCAATTATTGTTTATTATAAACAACTGCCTCCAAATGTCTCACAGTATGGTCGGGAGTAGGTGTCTCGATCTTCAAAATGGTCACTCATCCCGAACTGCTCTATAAATGCTCACAGACGACCGAACGCCTCACATAGCTTCTATTGAAGAAATCCTACTCACTGCCTTCTCGTGGCGGGTGTAAACACTAAAGTGGTAAGGAAAAGGCGCATGCCCGGCGCTTTCCACCGGGTTGACTGACCACTGGTAGTCAATCTAGGGGAGTTGGCTAAACCCAAATTGCCTACACCTGGCAAAAGAAGCTCATAGTGGCACCAATCCACGGTGCAACCAAACCGGTTTTCAAATTTCACCTTTGGAGTCAACCACCGTGATGCTCACCGGCCTGTGCGCGGCCCAAGGACAATCTGGGTACCCTGGATAGTTGGCCACATCCAAAATGCGTATGAACTGGTCAGTCAATCACCGGCTCCCAGAGCATTGTGTAATCTTTACTCCACCCAACTGCCTTGTGAGTCGAATTCTTTGACCAAAGACTCCGAGTAGGGTTGTCCAGGAAAACCCTCTACTTCGGGGTGGGCAACCGGGTAGTACCACGAGGGAAATTTAACCATGGACAAACAAACAAAATTTGTTATTCTCAAAGTTGACTGTTTTTTTATTTGTTTACACCCGACCTGCTTCTATACTTCGCGTGAAACTCATGGTTATTTTGGCATCGGATCCATTAGGATTAGTGTTAAATATAAAATATGTTATACACAATTGTATGACGAACAGTAGAGGGACCACAGTCGCAAAGACCTAATGTTCACTCATGACAACAGACAACCTAGGACCTGTGACCTAGAGAGGCGAACCAACTATGATCCGGATACGACAGACGTGGTATCAGGCCGGACGAGAGTGAAGCCGTCTATCATACACAACTTGCGTGGCAGTGGTAAGATCTGAACCCCAAATCTGAGGGTCCAAAGCATGCAAGCGACCAGAACTTGAAGCGCTTGGAATGTGCACACTGATCGAGTAGATGGATAGACAAAACAAAAGTAGCTGTGACGTACTGCCATCCGCAACCCCAATAACACCGGGATTCTTCGCTCTGAAATCGTCAGATGCGGTGGATTCGCTGGCCAGACAATCGCAGCCATCGTACATAAGGGACCAAGTCCACTTTCTCACAAACGTTGTTCCCTTCGAGGTAAGATCCCCTCCGGCTTTGTCCAATTCCGAGATGGCGACATACAGGGAACACACTGCACCATGCGATGAGTCACAATCCCATGCAAATGCAACACCTGAATTAGTTGGCAATCCGGAACTGAATGTGATATCTCGTTTGGCATACCATTTATAATTGGAACAAGTCAATAGTCGAACTGAATGCGATAGCAGGAAGAAAGGGGGCAGGAGAAAGAGAAAGTGAGTGCATAAAAATCGCAGTCGATTTTAGGCGGTAGGCTCGGAAAAAATGAATGCCCTTGTCATCCAAATTGGTGGGGATCAAAGTACATAGGCCGAATAACTTGTCTTCACGCACGATTGGTATTCTTTTGGGGGTGGGACGAATTTTCGATTGATAACTGACATGACTGTAACAATTATCCACAAATGTTTAGTGCCGTGAACCTAGACTGACACTAAATAAGATTGTCATCGCCAATTTCGTTACAGGCAACGCTCGGCTGGGTGCTTTCTAGAAGAAAAACACTGAGTGATACCGTAGAAACCCTACTACTACTAAGATTTTGCATTCATACTTCCACGAACATGATCAAACAGAGGAGAAATTTACCTGGAGTGAAAATTAAAAAGTAAACAAGCCAAAATCCGGGGCTACAATCGGATCGGTGAACTACTGAAAATTCACCAAGGGGAGTTGGCTAAAATCCCTGGTTCCAAATCAAACGAGAAGAGTAATACGAACCACACACACCTTGTTGTGGCGACTTGATTGGGCATCCGGGTGTTGCGGACACTTAGAACATTTGACACCGTCCAAATCATGAAACCTTTGTACAGAAAGATTATCGTACCGTGACTTGTTCGACACACAAACTGGACGTAAACGTATGTTAAATATATATTTTATAAAATGTCTCTTTTATATGGTTTACGTTATACGGTACGTCTCCCGGTTTAAGACATGGGCAAAGTTGTAAAACGCTGCTCGTTCTGTTCACAGCTAAACTGCCTCCTTTCAAATATGAGAATCAAACGCCAGCAGCTCAACAGGTGCAATCCACAAACCGCGGAAATGACGAAATGGGTACGGAACGGATACGAGTAAGAGTTCGAGAAAACCGGCGAGTAATATGTATAATGTATTAAAAGATGGACTGCTCAACTTATGCACCACAGAAGGATGATTTGAGATTCCAATCAAATCGTCTTCATAGAAAACTTTGGTTTTCCAACTAACTCATGCAGACCGGAAGAAAATATATAATTCAGGATTACGTGTATCAGAACCGTGGATCAACTTTGTAACCCAATGTCATCAACCCGCGGTAACTTGCGAATGTTAGGCATCATGATTTCGGTAAAATGTATCACAAATCAAAAATAAAGTGAATGTGATGGAGCTTAAAACAGCCTCGAAATAACGCACTGAACGACGGGTGATGTTCGGTGTCAGGGTTCAGTCCGGAGCACAAAACAGCCAGTACGTCACCATTAGGGTCGAATTGCATGTTTTTGACGCGATATTTCGATTCCTGGCTCGCATCCAACAGCTCCAATTCACCATGCCTTTCTGCATTCGTTTCGAAAAAGATTATATCCAACCCCCGGGCTGGTCGACGATAAACCGCTGTGATCAGCTGTGTTCGAGGCCTGTGACCGTTAGGATAAAGGCAAGAAAATACTTTGCCTATTATCAAGTTTATGGACAAACAGATCAAATAATCAAAGTGATCGCGCCTTGAATCGCGCGTGTTGAATGTGAAAGCAGCTTGAATAAAAACGTTTCCGGAAAGTTGGCTCCATAGTTGATTTATTTCATCTGAAACCGGTTAGTATTGACTAAACTAAAATTTAGGATTCTTCTTGCACGTACCACCACATACCGAAACAGAACCATCCCTTATTTTCCTTGTATCTAGGTCAATCTGGCAATTAAAATGATTTGCATTTAACTCAATTAATTGTGAGTAGTGTTGTGAGATAATTGATATTGGCTAACTGATTTGAACTCATCATCCTTCGAACTTCACCATCACGCACATTTCTCAGTTCATTGATNCATTGATTCAACCATACATTCATAAGCACTAGACTCGAGTTTCACTCTTATTAGAGCTCATTAGTAGTGCATATCTACCATCACGTCCGGGAGCTGAACCCCGGACCGATCGCATGAAAAGAGTGTGTGTTACCACTGAGCCAACCAGTTCATATCAGAGCTGAACCGAATTGCCAATTACTGTTTGTTCAGGTATCGTCTTCAGAGATAGTCAGTCAGTTTATTTGGCCCGATAGCAACGAAAGGAGACGCGGTTGACTATCTGTTAACTCGAATCGAAAGCCGCCCACCAAGTCAGAGCTTCCTAGTGTATGGTTGACTGTAAGAGCTGAGGAAGGTCCGTGAAGCAGATCAACAACAGAGGTCTACAGTATATCAGAAAAAATTTAAAAAAAATATGTTTTATCGGAACGGATAATACCAGCAGAAACATATATGACAAGATACCGGGAACCAGAAACACACATCATACCTCCAACAAAATCCGGGCTCCATCAAACCAGTTGGTTCCGACGTGGAAAACAGATCGCCAGAATCAGTGAAAATTCGGACACGTCGAGTGTTTTGTTGAGAGGCGTCAAGCCAAGAAACAGCAAAATATTTCCCATCATCGCGCCATGCTATTTCACAACGGCCATCGTCGTGCTGTGAGCGCGTCAGTACACGCTTGAAGCGGAACGAAGAGATAAGAAATCCGACAATCGTATGGAAGTAATTTTGGAATTCATAACTTAGTAAACAAATAGAAGAGTATACAGTACAATAGAGATAGAGAACTTTGTTGGTTTGTTGAGAAAGCAAATATAACCATATCACTGATTGGTCTAGGGAGTGGGAAAAGGTAAATTATACCCAGGATATTCTTGTTTCATTTTTTTAATTACACAACGTGAATTACAATAAAGGGGGAAAACCCCATTGTCAAAAAAGCATACTGTAAAAGGGCGAGTAAGGAACACTCACGGGAGATCCAGCTTATTGATTTTTCGTTTAAAGAGTGTAAGGTTTTAAACTGAGCAAAGTAAGAGAATGTTTCACAATTCAGTAGTATGCAATCCGATAGGGATGACTAGATGCCTGTGTACGGGATAGATGGGTAAAAACTATAGGAAAGGAAACTGTCGAGGGGAGCTCCGAAGAACACAAAACAAAATAGCAACGGTAGAGTAGGGATAGTGAAGCCACTGTTGGGCCAGTGACTGCAGACTGGAGGTTACGGAGGGATCGTTGATCCGCCGCATGGCATTTCGTTATCAATTAGTTTGAGGGACAATGTTAAGCATCGTTTATCCAAAAGTACGACACACATGGAGCATAGACTGTCTCTAAGAAGATAAATTAAGAGTTGCCGCAGGTCTGATTTCTGAGTCCATTTACGATTAAGATGCTTGCAATACAATAAGAGTAAAAAGCTGGTTCCCAGGGCCAATAACTGGTTGTTAATGGTAGGCAGCTTCAAAATCGTGCATTACAAACAAACTACGATGATGCGTGTGTGTGAAATGTTAGGAATCTAGGGCAGTTTTCATTAGGATGCATCGACCGGTCGGGATGTATTCACTTCGATTTTAAGATTTGAACAGTAGCCTCATAAAACAGGAGATAACGTGTTTCATTTTCTCACCTCGGTTCTGAATTCATAACATTTGGGGCTCTGGACTCCCGGAACATCCTCCGAATGTCCGAACGGAACAGGTTACGCAATAATGACAATATTTTCATTTTCAAACATATGATAAATGTAGAATTAATGCTAAAGAAATGCACCGCCGCAGATCGAAGGCAGCGGAACAATAAATTATCGTCATCATCATTGAACAGCGAAAAACAATGAAACGAACTTTACTGATCGTTGCCGAACTCACCATGCATACAAGGTTAGTGGTAAAATTTAAGGTGGACAGAGATTGGATCTATTTTGAGGGAGGGAGAAGAAGATGAGCCACTATGGTCAACACACAGAGTACACAATCGAACTCCGCATACATGCCATTTCAAGAATTCTAGCCAAATATAAAATCACAAGGACGCCACTGCTATCGGTTCTCTACCATATCTTTCAGTGTCTCCATCCAACCAGTTAGAGCCCTTCGGACCCGAACATGAAAGGCGTGATATACCTAGTCTACCTAAAAGCTCTGTGCACTTCCTCATGCCTCGTCTCCACACCATCTGTTGACCTCCACGTGGTTTCCTCCAGCCCGGATTACCCACAGCGAATAAAGCGCGGTGCGGCAGACGACAGCTGGGTATACGCAATACGTTCCCTAGCAAGCGAAATCTACCACTCGATGTGCTAGCGGGTTTATCCTTGATGTAGTCCCAAATACACAACAACTTGCTTTCAGATTACTGACTTGTTCGCTCCATCCAACGTGGGCTAAAATACGTAAACACCAATAATCGAAAACTTCTAGTCGATGGATATCTTCTATTCGTAAATTCGGGGTCTCACAACCATAAAGCAGGACTGGACGAACGCTAGCACTATATACACGAACTTTCAACTTCAGTGAGGCGTCGCGTCTACGCCGAAGGTGTTCCAGTCCTGCTCGAGCCTCGAAATGCGGACGGTTATCTCCTTTGCTGCACTACCGTCATTGGTCACGCAACTACCTAAGTAGGAAAAGCAATGCACTGTAATTAATTCCTGGCCATTTAGTGTCAGAGTGGGAGTAGACGAAACCCAGTCCTGTAGCATCACTTTGCATTTTGAAGGTGCAAAGCACATACTGAATGTGGCGACAGCACTTGTTAGTCTATCAAACGCGCTTTGTGCGTTGTTCGTACATTGGAACAGACAGAAAATGTCGTCGGCGTACTCCAAATCAAACAATAATTAGAGGTTGGGTTACATGTTTCAGTTTGTACAACCATTAACCATGCACTACCGTGCGCCGGCTGTGGTTGCTGTCTTTTGGCTGCCCATTTGGATGAAGAATAGAAGACAGGAAAGCTGAAAGTAGAGCCGAACAAAAAATGGAGAATTTCAGTGGTCTAAGGTTGCAAAGAACTTGAGATGCGCGAACGCCACTGCTTAAGACATCCAGCCATATCATTCAGTGTCTCTAACCATCGGTTACGATCGTCTCGAGGCCCCCAACCAGTGAGCATAACGGGACTTATGTGACCAAGACTCCTGCTTAGGGTTTTCATACCCTCGTTCCAGGTCTTAGCTTGATCACCCTTGGCTTTTTTCCACTCGGTGTCTGTTTCGGCGAACATCGCTCGCCGTGGTAACCTATCTGGTAACATGCGCAACAAGTCCCAACCACCGTAATCTGCGGGGTCAACCAGTTGCTCCAGTGGACGACCGCGATTGCCTAAAAATTTACACCTAACCCCAGCAGTGCTCATCCGATCTTCCCACCAGATGCGTGCAATGAGACGCAGATAGTGGTATCCGAACACCGACAATCCATCTTTCTCAAGAAGCAGTCCAATGAAGCTACCGCCGGCTCCGGCTGAGCTCACAATGGAACCGAAATGTGCCCGAATAACACAGAAACGAAATAAATTCTCTAGGTTTATCACACTGATGATGACTCGATTGGAGTGCGTTTACAAGGAGACACTAAACAGAGAGAGGGTTCGTCAAATTTTAATGATTATCATGATGTTTGAATCAAAAGCACAACAACTTACTGCTGGTTTTGCTAAAGCAGCTTCTTTACCGGCAGAACCATGAAATTGCGTCTCTTTTTTGCCCCAACCAACTGTGACCGGAGAGGCTATAAGTCATCAGGGTGTATCAAAGGGAATTGGAGTATAAATTGCTGTAACATTCATAATGACTCCATGGATGAATGAAGCGCGTGATGCTGCTACACAGTAAGATAGAAATCAATGCGATGGAAAACCAAGACAGCAGATTATGTTGCTAACTGGACCGAGACCAAAATTTGGCGGTTACAACAAGTGTTTTGACCTGAGCATCCTGGCAGTATTCCGCCCATCCAGCCCCACCTCAGTGAGCAAATTATGGCCCTATTCTTAGTTATAATTGTTGTGCCGTGATTTGTTTGGCTTACAGTCTTTTGGAGTCAGACACGTGTGAAATCTAATATAATAATATGTAACATCAGCATAAACCCAAATGCATATAGAACCTATGTATCATGGGGCCGATAACCGTCTCTCAAGGTCTGGTGCTTTCAACGACAGTGACGGTTAAACGTTTATATCCTGCACTGTTGACGTGTAGCAAATCTCTGGAAGTCAGTCCCGAAAGCTTAAGTAAATAGTACATCAGTATCACGCTTCACCTAGCGGGACCTTACGTGGTTCACCAATCCAAGCCTCCGGGCTTAGGTAACCGGTTTATATGACCGGTCAACACGCCTTCGTGACTATAGGGTTCACCCCGTCTTCTATTTAAAACAGTGTAATAGAATTTCTTCTTAAATGATATATTGGAACAACAATCGCTCGTACTAGGATTCGAAGCCTGGTGCATGCGATGGATATGCACACTACGGGTGATTCTTAACGAGGATGAGATAGACACTTCAGTGACCAGTGATCAGTTGATTCTACATGACGAATACACTTCCATGAGCATGTAAACTCATCAAATCGTTTCAAATAAAATAAATTCGGTTTGAGTCATCAAACGAAAGAATAATCTTGTGACCTACCAGCACCAAAACCCTCTTTTGTTAAATCGAATGAGGAAATTAATTCCAAAGAAGTTGACATTAGGGAGACCTCGAAGTTATCTGAGATTAAATAACTCCAACGGAAGCTAGGACAAACCAGTAACAAAAGCCAACATGGATTTTTCCGGAGAAAAGCTGACACATTTGATTCCAGTGGGTACCGGGAAATCGGCAACAAACTACAAACATAATGATAAAGCGATTTCATGCATAATTGAGTTGGACTCACCTGGTTATCCGAATACCGCCAAGTATAGACACCACTGGTAGTCACAACACAAAATTCAGGTAGTTCTGTAGGTTCACAAAGCAGAAACTGGCCATCTATGTCACCACTACATGCGAAAAACTTGTCAGATCGAGAAATACTTTCACTGCGAAATAACTCACCTTCGATTCATTCCAAACCAAAATGCGTTCTCTCGAAGTAAAAGTCGTTAATCTGGACCATGGGTCAACACACAGACTGTGAACTCCATCAATTGGAATTTGGTAATCATGTTGGCTGATAACCCTCAAATTTTTCATGATTCGAAGTCAATGACTGAACACGGGTGTGATAAGCGTCTGTATAAACTGGAACGTGCAGAGGAACGACTTAGGTGCGACGCACAGGTATTGACTGGAATGATAATATAAATTAACAATGATTGATAGTAAAGTGTGAGGGCTGCCTCAGTTTAAGTAAAATCGATGAGATACTCACTCATGTTGACCCATACTGTGAGTCAAACATTTGAGGTACATTTACACAAATTTATCATTTAGTTTGTTTTCTTTCCGTAAATCCCCTCACCGTTTACTTCATCATCATCATTGTACAACGTAATTCAGTGAAGCGATCTTCACTGACCGCAGCCAAACTCATATTGTACACAAGGTAAGTGAGAATGTCTAAAGAGGATAGGTATTGAACTCAATTTTAGGGACGGGAAAAGAAAGCAAACCTATGGTCAACAAACAGAGTATGCAGTACAGCTGTGCATACCTACTGTTTCAAGCATTCTGGTCTGATAAGAAGTGACAGCAAGATTGCCATTGCTGTCAGTTCGCAGCCATGACCTTCTGTGTCTCCAACCATGCAGGTTCGGAGTCTTTAGCACGTTTCTAGTCAATTGGCGTACAATAATGTCCGGATAACGCAGTGGATCTTGGTAAACTGGATCCATCCCCAGCAACACTTAACCCCTTTCTTCGATTAGTTACTTTCTGCGCTTCCATGAGCCTCAATTTCTATTGTATTGTGTAACTTTTGCCAGTAATGAAGCTTACATATCCCTGAAAAAAAAACTAGAGATGCCAACCATCACACGGAACCTAATTGACGGGGGAATGTTTTCATACAGCCTAGGAACATTTCAAGGTCCAAGATTGGAACGAAGTTCACTTGCTTTTTCATCTCTGCTTTTGATTAAGCGTGCAAGACAGAGCATGAGTGAATTTCAGGCAATGTACATTAACATAATTGTCATCAGCGTACAACGAAACTCAGTGATGCGAACTTCACTGATCCCTACCAAACTCGCAATGCATACAAAGTTAGTATTTAGACGTATGTCGGTCGGACAGGGATTGAACCTGCTTTGAGGGAGTGGGAAGAAAGAGAACCTACTTTTTAGTGATGGAAACCAGCAACCCAAGCCACGGAGACCTGGAGTGGCGAACTGCATTAAGCGCCACTGGGTTAGGTGTGGTAAATATATGGGGCAATCTAGTATAGTTATTGTAGGTGTACTGAGCTCAGAAAGTTCGCTGCTGTAATCCCCGCTGAAGTAGTACAATCCATGGTCCACTCAGAGTTGAAGTATGCGAACTCCGTTGTCAGTCAGGTTGGTTGGGGTTACATGCAGGCCGCCTTTCGGATTCGTACATGGACTCTGCTTGAGCACTACGATATCCGTTGATCAAACACTTTTGAGTAGTTGGAAAACATCCTCGTAGAGTGGATCCTACATTCCAGGTAAATTGCAATCGGTCGAACGAGTTGCCAGGTCCGATGTAATTGGATGTTGTCAAATACTATTTCGCTTTGCGAAAGTAACTTATAACAGCAAATTATCCTACATATGCAATTCCGCAAAATTTGCTGACGAACACTCCACTCCGGAGAGCACGAACAAGTGTTCGTTATAATGAATTCGTGGAATATGCAAAGCACGCATTCCTTCTTATCCCTTTATTGATATTTAATTATATATCACTGATATTAATTGATACATTTGTCGTTCACAGAAAAAAACATTAGTTAGTCTAATAATGATTATTGACATATGAAAACGTTCCAGCAGATATTTCAATGTAGGAGGATGGTGACTTAGACCCATATCGGCGCCGACGCTTAAATTGATGTTCCCACGTGATCCCTACAGAAGTACAAAGGTTATTAACTCCACCAGAAGAGGTAAATAGATTTCGATGATTCCTAAAAGGTCCCTAAAGGAAGTGGTGTCATTTTCTTAAACCAGAGTTTTGGTAAGTAAATTTCCGTCTTACAAACATTCTACACATACTTCTTACGTTTGAAGACAGAAACGACCCCGTTTACGTAAGTCGATCAGCGTAAACGACCGAAACATTCAATATTTCCAAAAAATTAACCGGAAAGCCATTCCTTCGGATTTAAAATACAACAAGGCGCACAAATCCCTTCAACGTCAGCTCATCAAGAGTCTGACGAATGATCGCGAAAAGTGGTGGGTAGGGAAGTGTAGAGAGATGGAGAGGGCTGCGGCTATTGGTAATAGTCGTAATCTTTTTCCTTTAATTAGGAGTACAGGACCAAGGGAAGTAAGCGTGAGGTAATCAGGAAGTCTGACAGCACACTAATTTAAATTCAGGAACGTCGTCTTGAACATTGGGCAGAACATTTTAAGGCTCAGTTCAGCTGAGCCCCGTCGACACAAGACCTCTCTCTACTCGCTTTAACTGTGCATATATAGCCAGTTGATACCAGTCCTCCATCTGAAATGGAAGCTTCCTGGGAAATAAATTATCTCAAAAGGCATAGACCTTCCGGCCGCGACGGGATGTCCCCATCCGTTTTTAAAGATGGAGGCTTAGTACTGGTTTCCGAGTAACAAAACTCCTGGGCTTAGTGTGGGAGAGAGAACAGGTTCCAACTGAATGGTGTGAATCGGTCATCATGCCGATTTACAAGAAAGGTGACAGTTCCTCTTGTGAAAACCACAGAGGAATTAGTTTAATCAACATCATCTCTAAACTTCTCACCGGGATCATACCCCGTCGATTGTCTGCCGCACGTGAAGAATGCACGCGTGAGAACCCAGCTGGTTTCAGACATGGTCGAGGTTGTATCGACCACATCTACACTCTTCGCCAAATTCTAGAACGTAGACATTCTTTTCGTAGACCCACTGTCTCTACCTTCCTAGATCTTAAAGCGGCTTTCGACTCAGTCGACCGCTCTAAACCCATGGCGCTGCCTTTCCCTGAAAGGTGTGTGCGAGAAGTTTATTCCAATATTCCAATCCCTCTATAATAATAGCCGGAGCCGAGTCCGAGATTACGGCACATTTTCACCCGCGTTCGTCACGGAAAGTAGTGTTCGACAGGGTTGCCCTCTCTCTCCGTTTCTATTTAACTTCGTGATAGATTTGATTCTTGAAACAGCCCTATCCTCGTGCGAGGATAGTGGCATCGATTCACTCCCAGGTGGCAGGCTGTCTGATCTAGAGTATGCAGATGACATTGTGCTACTAAGTGAAGATCCAGGCAAAATACAAGCTTTTCTAGATAGTTCGAGTGCTAGTGCATGCGTTTTACACCTTCAAAGTGTAAAATGCTACTACAAGACTGGGTTGATTCAGCACCCAGTCTCACTCTTCCTGGAGAAGTAATAGAGCAGGTGGATAAGTTTTGCTATCCGACCAGATATATCTCACCTATCGGACGCATCACAGATGAAGTGTCGGCGCGGATACAAAAGGCTCGATTGGCATTTGCCAAGTTGAGACATTTGTGGCACCGTCGCGACATCCGGCTGTCTGTGATGGGTCGAGTATATGCTGCAGCAGTTCGGCCAGTACTGCTCTACGATGTAGAGACTTGGCCACTATAGGAACAGGATAAAAATAGATTATCCGTCTACGAACACCGCTGTCTACGTCGCATTGCACGAATCTGGTGGGGAAACCGGATGAGCAATGCTGAGATTAGGCCAGAGTTTTAGGCAGTCGCGGTCGTCCACTGGAGTAAGTGATCGACCTTCATAGATTACGTTGGTTAGGGCATGTGTTACGCATGTCACCAAATAGGTTGCCGCGGCGAGCGATGTTTGCCGAGGCAGGTAGTGGGTGGAAAAGGATCAAGGGTGGTCAAACTAAGACCTGGCATGAGGCTATGAAGACCTCAACCAGGAGACTGGGTCACATAGGCACCGTTAGACTCCCTGATTAGGGACCTCATGATGATGGTCACCAATGGTTAGAGACACTGAGTGATATGGCCGGGTGTCGCAGTGGCGCTCGTGCATCCACTCAATCTTCCGCTTGAATTTGGTTTCAACATTCCA